TTTTTTTCGGCAAAAAATTTGTGACAACCGGTCCTCCGGAGAACACTATCGAATGTCACTGTAGAATCCACAAAAAGTCCATTCCAGTATTTTCTTAATTACAATCTATGTCTTTCACATTGTAACGTGTGCGATTTTTGAAATTGATGTATTAATTGTTATCCGGGAAAAACAGTTTTGCTAATATATATATCAATTTGGTCAGATACTGATCTAAAAATAATTTTGTTTGATTAAAATAATTGTGTAAGACATTCAAATTGATACTCTAATTTGCAAATTAAAGTATCAAGAGTTTTTATAGTACGATCGTCATCCTACATAATTATTTGATCAATAAAAGTAGATCCAGCGAAGTTTTCATACGTTTCAACAAAATTGTTCTCTTCGTGTGTGATCTTTTATCAGCATTCTGATTTTTTATCAGCATTCTGATCGATTAACTTTTTTTAATGTGTCGCCAGAGTTGATAATATATATTTCAAGGCTAAAAGTAATGTAATACCATGTTAATGGTATAAAGATGATATTTCATTACTAACACAATTAATATAAATGTGATTTCAATCTACATCTCTATCAGCGCTTCATTTGCATAACATATAATACTGCATAATATCATTTTATACTTCTTTGCGTAAGCATAATTACGCCAATTTACAAGTCTTGAATTTCTTCAGTTCGCGAATATGACTCTCAGAAGGTTTGCTATGAAAAAGGAAGACTTGAAGTTCTCTTGAAGAAAACGTTCACGCGCCTTCGATCGTGCCGTTCTGTTTCTCTCGTTTTTATCTTCATATTTACATCATCGCGAATAATCATTATTATATTTAATGTCATCATTTAGTATTTTCTATTATGTGAGTGAAATGGGATGTCGCGATATTCCGATTCGATTGCGTTTATCTAACCGGCGGAATCGTAAAAAAAAATCCACTCATAAAGAAAAAGAAACCAACCGGAGGAACAAAAAAACAGAAAAGCAAAACAAGAGGCTTAATTGCCGATCGACCAAATTATTGTAACCGCGACGTAAATCTTATCGCATATATGACATTAATACATATCCTCGAAATCTCTGAATGTCCGAATCGATGCATACCGTCGATTTAATTGTCGGTCATTGGGCGTGATATATGTGCACAGCCAACATGAAAATTATCGTTTCAATTCGGATGACGATGTACGAAATCTTAAAACTTCTTCAAAGGTATACAGTGACATTAAAATGAAACATTGAAATTGATACAAATAATATCCAGATTTCTCAATACTATACGATTACGAGACATATAAATCTCTATATTTATTCGCAATAATGAAATTATGCAAGAGCAATAGTGATTTTTTGCGCACGTGCAAAATTCGCATATATAATTAATACCTGATACCTGATAATAATCCGGTTTCGCGAAATTAATATGTATTTTCTAAAATAAGGGTTCTCGCTCAGCTTTTGAAAGGTATAATGGTTCATTGAGCGTCATTAGAGCGCGGAAAACTCCCCCGGGATCCGATGATATTAGAATTACTTGGAAAACGTATGACGGCATAATAATGCATTGACGGTTAACGAAGGCGTATCGGAGGCGGCGATGAGCGGATGTTAACGGTTAATTAGGAGTATCGATCTCGATCGGCGATCTACGAGCGAGTGCGACTGTGGGTGCACGCTAGTACATTATGCATATTACAGGCTTGCGTAAGTCCTCCGCTCCAATTTCCAGTTGCGGCGAGACACGCGCGAAATTACACGCTCGACGGTGCGGAGCGCGGCCGCGGCGGCGGGCGATTTTACGCACGCTTAGAACCGGTGTCAAATTTACACCCGGCGATCATAATAATCAACACTCCCCGCTGTCATTAAGAGGCGCGGATTATGTACAAGCCGCCAATTATCTCGCCGCCTTTTACGCGAACCCTGCAAAACAACCGATCCGAGCTATCTCCACGCCGCCCGTAGGTGATCAATTTCAAATGGACATCATTACGATCTCAAGTGTTGCCCGTTTAACGATCTCCCCTCCCCCCCTCCTCCCCTCTCCCCCTCCTCCCGGTCACGATTGAATCGCTAAAAAGTCACGGCGCGTGGGACGGCTGTTTTTCCCGTCAATCCGTGTGATTATTTATGCAAATGCACGCGCAAAAATTGCACTCGCGCGATAATAACGTAACGATCACTCATCGGCAAAGAGGAAGAAACGGAGAGAGCAACAGAGAGAGAGAGAGAGAGAGAGAGAGAGAGAGACAAACATGAAATTTTATTGACAACACAGATTGAGTCGCTGTCTCGCTCAACGTTCAATTTCTTTTCTTCTGGTACAGCCGGACCGAAGGTGTCGTGTCCGTATATCATTAGGACGGAATAATTACGTAACACAACGAGAACTTTATAATCATTCACGCACGTACTGTGTAACTATAAATCAAGCGGCAAATTTTGTAATACGCGCGTGCCAGCGGATTACATTACGTACATTTTCCAGTCGTGTAAATAAATTGCTTCTGCATTCCTGCGACCCGTCAAAACCGACGCGACGCGTAACGTGTTAATCATTTGCGACACATGGATGCAATTCGCATTCTATGTAAATCGTATGCGCATCGGTGACGTCTATTACGGCGCTGTTTACCCTCGGTATCGCTTCTCGAGCGGATGGGAGAGTTGTGAATGATGAATGGAAGATCTATCGCTGCTGATTTATGAGAACAACCCAATAATGCCGTAATATTTTCATAACATGCACGCACTCCCCAGCTCTTAAATCACACAATCCTATGAATCTTAAATTACAATTCTTAAATTACAATCCCATTAAAATCAAATTCAAGGCTGAAGATTAAAATAAAGATCGTGAAAATAAAGTTCCAGTCTGCAAATTGAACGTTAACATTTGATCTTCCATCTACATCTCTTCGAAGTTTGGAACGCATTATGCAATAAATTTTCGATTCTTATTTTAAAAGAACAGTTCTGCCGAAATATAAAAATTGAACCCGATACAGATCTGAAAATAATTTTGTTAGGCCATCCAATTAATTATGTAGTTGACATTGGTTGCAAAAATATCAAAAATTTTTGCAATATTATCATTATGCTTAAGCGTCTTACATAACAATTTTGACAGTTCAACAAAATTATTTTCAGATTTGTATCTAATCAAATTTTTAATTTTATTTCAACAAGATAGTTCTTTTTGCGTAGAGATTGGTCCACGTAGATTCTTCCACGAATCATGCTGTTCTCCGCGTCGCGTATCGTTGAGTACGATCGAACGAGAAGCGAGCGAGCGAGAGAATCGCGACGTGTTATCACCTTTGGCACTCGTGGCTGTACTTATGCTGCGAATGCCACCACTTATGCGTGTGTTTCTCTCTTTTTTCTTATTGCACATATGCGAATACGCCTCCATGCTGGGCTGAAAGTAAAGAGGCCGGGGACTATTAGCGATACTTGGTTCACACGAACGCACGTGCACCATGTAAATTTCAGAAAAGATTAAAAGGAACCAGAGGGATGTGAAAATGGAGAGAGAGAGAGAGAGAGAGAGAGAGAGAGAGAGAGAGAGAGAAGAGAGGAGGGAGAGAGAGAGAGAGAGAGAATCAAGCGGCGTGACATCGCATCAGCCGATCTTAAAAATAATCGTGGTTCATCTGGTGACATGATAAGTTGCTACGCTAAAATAGCGACTCTCGTAATCCTCTGTGAAAATAAATATGGCTAATATCTGACAGAATCTATTGATTTCGACGCAAAAGTTTTATACTTTTACAGTTTTACACTTATTATTTTGGATGAGCGTGTTCCCAAAGTAAGAAATTCGCTATTAATTATAAATTACTACAAAGTTTCTATAGAAAATAGTTTCTATAGAATATAGTTTCTATAGAAAATATTTATTGAAATATCTAAAATATTAGCCAGATACAGATTTAGAAACAATTTTGTTAGACTTCTAAAAATAATTATATAGGACAAATACCAAAAATTTGTGCAATTTGTTATCATCATGCTTAAATATATTATAGAATTATTTTGATAATTTGGTCAGATATATCTGACCAAATTTTTAAATACATCAGCAAAATCTGATTCTTTCCGTATGTATACGTATCAGCTGATTCCTCAATCGATTGTATATTTCGTGAAGAAAAATAAACGTTGAAATGCACATCTTGCAGAAAAATTAAAATTAAAATTAAAAGTTTAGAGCTTCGCAAAGATAATGGATTACTAACTCACTTTAATTTATTCGATTCATAGAATCAGATTTTAACTCATTCGTTCATTCATAAGCATAGGGATAAATTTGTCATCCTTTCAACTTTTATTCGTACATTTCACTTTATCTATTTCTTTATAAAACGCTCACAGGAAGAAGATAAAAAATTATTTACCTTGCGCTGCATCAAGAAAGGGATTCGCGACGGCCGGCGCGAGAATCGTCGCGATCGTTGTTATCAGCAGCATCGTCAAGCGATACATTTTTCGATGCGCGAAGCACCCTTCTCTTGAATCCTTGTGTAAAAGATGCGCGCGTTCACCTCATCTCACCACCGCACGTCGTCGTGAGGAAAGGAAAAGAAGCAAAAATGCACGAGGAAGAAAGAAAAGGAAAAAGAAAATGAGGAAAGAGAAGAAGATGTCAGGTAGTCTCACGGACGAGTCACGGAGGAGTCACATGTCGAGACGAGACACGCGTGGCACTCACACAGAAAATCCGAGATGTGCACTCGAGCACAGCTCGCGGGCGACTGAGCTTTTCGTGGCACTTATATGAGCCACGAGTTGAGCTTTTTACTGTGAGTGAGTGGGTGAGAGGAAGAAACGAGGAATCGCGCCGGGGCCCACCGAGCGTGTGTGTGCCGGAGGAGGGGGGGGGGGGAGACCGAGACGACGAGGGCGGATACGAATGAGAGAGGGACGGCGAGAGAGGAATTGCGTGTGTAGGTGGGAAGAGACGCGTGGCGCGCGCGGCTGTCACGCGGTGCAGCCCGCTATTGTGACATCTTCGACTGTATACCCTGCCGTATTTTTTTTTTTTTCTTTCTTTCCTCTTCCCGTCGCCTTCTGACCGCACGACGAGTTCTCGTGGCAAGTTCTTTGTTACGCGCGCAAGTAGCGAAATCCGGTCTCCTAATGGCGCGTTCCTTCTATTAATTCTGTTAGGTTATTAGTCCACAAGCTTTTTCTTGACGTTTCAGGAGAATAAATAAAAATCAAATAAAATAAGGATGACAAATAATAAATTAATGTGTAATCGCAGGTTATACTTTTTTCTAAAACAAGACGAAAGCAGGTCATGACAGCTGAGACGCAAAATCTTGTGTGGTGATATGGTACAATACAATTAAAAACAATAATCATAAATATTAAACATTTCTATCTCAGATTGAGTCATCCTCAGCATACATCATGATTCATACAATATAAAATTATCTTATTATATTTTAAATTAATGTTAAAAAATCCGCAAAAAACTAACTAATGCGTCAAAATTAATAAAATTAATAATTCTTGTTATAAAATACAGATTACAATAAATTTGTGTGAGTGTGCATATGTATGATTTAAAGGATTGTTTTTTAAATCTAATCATAGGCATATGGTTTCGTTAAAATAACTTACTAAATTTTAAAAATTTCTACAATAAGTATTAAAAATTAACGTGCCTATTTTATAATATTAGTATGACAAAGTCATAGAGTTTTACAATCGCGTTGCATGTTACATATATCGTCGCGTTTCTCTGTCGTCCTTTTTATCGAGAGCGCAGAATTCGATAGTGCGCAGAGAGACACGAACCGTCGCATTGGATGAATTGTGTCGAATTGATGGATGGACAGAAAGAGAGAGCGCGTAATGGACCACTTGATCGTGCCTGCATTCGTTCTCCGGCTGCCGTATCTCCTCGAGTACTTAGCTGCTCCGTCTCGGACCGAGAGCACAGGTCAGACGAAAATCAGTCCGTACCCATAAATCTAATGTCGCGGCCCATTGCCTCATCGCCTTCGAGCGGTGGACCGCATTCCGAGAAGAAGGAAAGCCGATAACCCGTAGGACGATAACTTCCGCCGATAACACCGTCGATATGATACGCATAGTAAATCCTCGTAATAATGTTTCAGATATGCGCTCGTATCCGACGATATAACGTCCTGTACAAATAATCTTCAATTTTAGACGATCGATCTCAGCGTCTTTTTCGTCCGCGCTCGTTCCAAACGGTACAGATATTTCAGCGAGATAAGATTAGTGACATTACTCACGGCCGTATCTACGAATTCGAATTATTAATCAGTTCAGGAAAGCCTACGGTGCGCACACGGGTTTTACTCGGTGAACGGCTCAATTAAATGTCAGGACGAGATTCTGTCTGAACTGCATAGCTCGCATTTCTCTATGCTCCCCGATTTATCATGTGGTCAGAGACTGAACTCCACGGAGGACTATCCATTCCTTATCGATGCCGTGCCAGCCAACGGGCGTCCGAAAACACGTTCACTGTCTCCGGATATTTGATTGACTGATCGGAGCTGATTCTCGGAGCGTTCGTAATTTATTAATTTATTCCACCGATAAATCGCCTTCAATCCGCACGTGGGCAGTGGACGACCGGTCTCCCTGATACCTCTTTTTCTTCTCCTTTCTTCTCCTCTTTTAATCTTGCCCCTCTCTCTCTCTC